AAGGCTTCTGAGAGTGAAGCGACATGTGGTGTGTTCCTTGAGTGGGGCTGAGGCAGGACCATGAGTTCAAGTCCATCTAGTTTCAAAAAAATACCTACCATATAGGATGCTTATTCTTCAGGTTGCAAGCCTGGGCAGGCTTAACTGGGTTCTCTGCCACAGAGCTCACAGTACCAATGCCAAACTCCCAGCAGGGCGCTTCCTGGAGTATGTGAGGAAGAATGCATATCCTCGCTCACCAAGGACTGCCTGTAGGGCTCCAATCTCCATTTTCTTGCTCTTTGCTCAGGGCCTGCTGTTAATTATTTAGTATTTCTCTCAGTAGGCCATGTAAGTAGAGCCTGGGGCGAGTTCAGCTGGCAGAACCCACACAGTCTGACCTCCACACACATGCCAAGGCACATGCATGCCCACCTGCCCACAAAATTAAAAGAATCTAGCATTTCTTGGCATTCAGCATGTCTTTGTTTTCCCAAGTTGACATTGTCACCTTCCTTGGTTTGGAGTTTCTCTGACTTCCTCTTCCCTGTCTTATCTAGTGCTGACCCATGAGAGGAATCCATCCCATTAGCAGTTCTGAAGATGAAAGGAAGGAACCTGGGGAGGTGTTAGCACTCCAACACCACAGCCATGATGGCGTGATGGTAGCTCACTTTGGTGACGGCAGGTCTGGAGAGGAATGGAGGCAGTCTGGGAATGTGGGATCAACAGGGCACTCTGCTAGTTGGCTTTGTGGACTCAGCCGTCGCTAAATTTGTAGGGTTATCAAACTACATGGCGTGATCATTGTGCTCACCATGTGTCTCTGTGTGAAGTATGTTTGCACGTGTTGTGTGCCGGCATGTTGGTATGCTCACCCACCTGTGTGCAATGTGTAGTCCCAGAAATCATTGTTGGGTATCTTTCTCTTTATCTCCAGAACACGCTGTGTAGACCAGGCTGGCCTGAAATTCAAAGCTCACGGCTCGCCTCTCCATCCTAAGGGCTGGACTTCAGGGCGAGTGCCACCGTGGCCAGCTCGCTCTGAGCCAGAGTTGCTCACGGAGCCTGGGGCTCACAGGTTGGCTGGGCTGACTGGCCAGTGAACCCCTGAGATCTGCCTGTTTCAGCCAGTTCCCTCCCCCCTCCTCCGGCCCTGGGCCCTCCTGCTTATTTTATCCACTGATCTCTCCCTGACCTTTTTCCTGGTGCTGGGAATCAAACCAAGGGTCTACCTCACAAAGGACTCCTTTGTGACTTCCCTTTATTATTTTGGATTTTTCTTTGGGAGGGAGGATCTCATGTACCCAGGCTGGCTTTAAACTTGGTGTGTGCCAGAGGATGACCTTGGCCCGATCCCCCTGCCTCCACCTCCTATGTACTGTGATTACAGACACCTTTCAATATAACTAGCTTTGGAACTTTTGTAAATTTTTTTTCTCTCTCTTTAACTCTAAAGGCCAGAAGAAGCCTGATCTCCCAGGGCTGGATTTACAGGCACTTGGCAGCTGCCTGGTGTGGTGCTGGGAACCAAATTCAGGTCCTCTGTAAGAGCAGCGCATGTTCTTAACCATTGGACCATCTCTAGCCATTAAACTTTAGGTTGTATGTCTGGGTGCTTTGCCTCCTTGTGTATCTATGGACCACTTGTGTGGCTGTTGCCCATGGAGGCAGAAGACAGGCGTAGGGCGCCCGAAAATTAGAGTTAGAGACAGTTATAAGCCTCTGTGTGGGTGCCAGGAATTGACCCTGGGCCTTCTGGAAGAGCAGCCAGTACTTTGAACTGCTCTCTCCAGCTCTAACTCCACTTTAAAATGAAAACATAAATGATGTGTATCCGTATGTGGCTGTGTGCACATGAGGGGTCTGAGCTGCTGGCTCTCCCCAGAGTTGGAATTAAGGACAGTTGCAAATGGCCTGAGGTGGATAGAACTGACCTGAGTCCTCTGGGAAATCAGCAAGTGCTCCTTAGCCCGTTAGCCACTAAGCCATCTTTCCTGTCCCCAGATCATATTACGTTTAGTTAATTTATTTTGAGTCTATGTAGCCCCGACTGGCCTGGAACTTGCTATGGAACCAGCCTGGTAGACCAGGCTGGTCTTAAACTCACAGAGGTGAACTATTTATGCCTCCTGAGTGCTGGGATTAAGGCATGTTTCATCACACTTGACTAAAATTTTATTTATTCTATGTATATGAATGTTTTGCTGGCATGTATGTATGTGTACCACTGGTGTGCCTGGTGCCTACAGAGCTCAGAAGAGGGCATTGAATCCCCATGGCTGTGAGCTACTATGTATATGCTGGGAATCAAACCATTATTTTCTGCAAGAGCAACAAGTACTTTTTTTTTTTAAATTTTAATGTTTTAACATTAATTACAGTTTATTCACTTTGCATCCCAGCTATAGTCCCCTCCCTCATTCCCTCCTAATCCTGCCCTCCCTCCCTCTTCTCCTCCCATGTCCCTCCCCCAGTCCACTGATAGAGGAGCTCCCCTTCCCCTTCCATCTGATCCTAGCCTATCAGGTCTTATCAGGGCTGGCTACATTGTCTTCTTCTGTGGACTGTTAAGGCTGCTCCCCTCAGGGGGAGGTGATCAAAGAGCCAGCCACTGAGTTCATGTCAGAGACAGTCCCTGTTGCCTTTACTAGGGAACCCTCTTGGATACTGAGCTGCCACGGGCTACATCTGTGCAGGGGTTCTATGTTATCTCCATGCATGGTCCTTGGTTGGAGTATCAGTCTCAGAAAAGACCCCTGGGCCCAGATTTTTTGGTTCTGTTGCTCTCCTTGTGAAGCTCCTGTTCCCTCCAGGTCTTTCTATCTCTCCCTTCTTCCATAAGATTCCCTGCACTCTGCCCAAAGTTTGGCTCTGAGTCTCAGCATCTGCTTTGATATCCTTCAGGGTAGTCAGTCTTTCAACAGCCCTCTGCGGTAGGCTCCTGTCCTGTTCCCCAACAAGTACTCTTAACCACTGAGTTAGCCCATGAATGCGGCTGTGGGGTGGGAAGGGTGTGGCATTCATGACCTTTATGGACCACAGAAGGACAATCTGAAGGGGACAAGAATGCAGTTTGACTCAGATTATTCAGAAGGCCCTGTTGTTTCAAAGGCAGGAGTCTGACCCGAGTAGTTTATTTTAGGCGTATTTATGCACCACAGTTTGATGAAAGCTGGTGATAACTAACTCAGCCCCACAGGCACAACAAAGCATAAATCTCCCTAAGGACAGATCAGATGTGACTGCATCAAAACTATCTGTAAAGTCCATAAAGATGGGTTCTGTAGATTGAGAGAAGCCGATGCTGAGAAGTCTCCGGTCACACAGCTAGCGCACAAGGTCAGCAGGCTAAGAAGCCGGCCTGCTCCAGACTTCTGGGTGGTAACAGGTATTGCGTTCCTTGCCCTGAAGGGAGAATCCGAGTGTTTAACATTCCAGGTTGCCCTAGTGCTTATCTGCGAGCACAGACCTCCTACCCCAGGCCTTTTTTAAAAAGACTTTCTATGTGGGAACGGGCCCACCTGTTCAAGAGCATGTACACATTTTTTTAATCCAGCACTTGGGAGGCAGAGGCAGGCGGATCTCTGTGAGTTCAAGACCAGCCTGGTCTATAGGGTGAGCTCCAGAGAAGCCAGGGTTACAAAGAGAAACCCTTAGGCAAAAATCAAAGCCAACAAAGAGTGTCTACAGCTTTGGTCCATCAGCAAAAACCACGTCTTCTTTGCTTGTAGGCACCATCCAATCACACTCTGGGAGTATGGTGCGATGTGAGTATGCAGTGTGGGGTAGGAACTTGGGGACACGTTCTGTGATGCAGCAAGCTGCTCAGTCTAACGCTTCCCTAGACTTTATTTCCAGCCCTTTCCTGAGTTAGTACCTCCGTGAAGATCTTAGGACTCCTGGCCGGAAGACAGTGTTAGGGCATCACACAGATGTCTTCACTGACACAGGAAAACTCCACTCTCAAGTCAGTACATAATGATGGGGGAGAGAAATCTGCACATTTTCTCTCTTTTCCAGACAGTTTCTCTGTGTAGCCCTAGATATCCTGGAATTCACACTGTAGACCAGGTTGGTTTCTCTTTTTGAGACAAGATCTCAGCAGCCAGGCTGGCCTCTACCTTAGACTTCTGCTTACACCTCTTCCTTCTAGGTGCTGGGAATAAAGGTGAGTGCACTGTGTGCCCAGCTTTGTTTTCATGGAATGGAGTTTGCATAAAAGAGGGGTAGCAGGCTGGCAGCAACAGTAACACTGCTTAAGCCCACACTGACAAGGTGTGAGTACTTGATACTAGGAGGGGCCTTTTCAGACTGTTAATTTTAAGAAGCTAAGAACATGACAGTTAGCATATAAAGCCATATGTATACAAAGAGCCCCAGGGCAAGCATCGAGATCCATGTGAAAAAGACAAGCACAGCAGTGTGTGCCTGTCAATCCAGTGCTGGCAGGTGGGGACAGGAGATTCCCTCGCTGCACTGGCCAGCCACACTAACCTACTTGGTGAGCTGCAGGCCAGTAAGGGACCAAGAGAAAAGAGATACCTAAGGAATGACACCAGAGATTGCTCTCTGGCCTATAGACAGTCAGTCAGACACACACACACACACACACACCACACACACACACACACACACACACACACACACACTCCCTATATAAACTAGTACTTGGGAGGCAGAGGCACACAGATCTCTTGAGTTTAAAGTCAGCCTGTCTAGTGTACATAGCCAGCTCTGGGCCAGACAGAACTATACAGTCAGAGCTATATCGTTGCAAAGTAAAACAGAACATCCTATGTATTATGAGGGTGCTGTATGAGACACTTGCCTTCCTTTCCTTTAAAGATAAGGTCTTGTTACTTATCCTGGGCTGGCCGTGGACTCAATCAGAGGCATGTGTGTGCACTTAGGTCTACAGGAGATATTTCTGAAAAACTCCAACGCAAACTGGCAGTCAACTGGAACAGCGATAAAAAAAAGGAGTATGCAGCTTTTAGTCTGTATTAATAATGACTACATTTAAAAAATAAACCATGAACTTTTATTATCCCGAACCACAGAGAAGGGTAAAGTCGGTGGAAACTGAGCTCTGCACCATGAGGGCAGAAGCTGTGGCAGTACCCTAGAGTTCTTTTTCAGTCTTTTCATTACTTCCTTTTGCAGGTGGCCTATTAAAGCAATCAGACACAAGTGACCGTCGTGGGAGAGGAACCAGACACCGTTGGCAGACAGCCTGGGGGCCCACCTGCTCTGCGGCGGTCACCTGGCACCAGGAAGTGGCGAGAACCCACAGCTGTGCCAGGTGTTCCCTCCTAGTCCTGCCCCGTTGCTCTTGGGCGGCTCTCTTCTTTGGCTTGAGGGTGATTTTGAGAATGCTGCCATCAGCTGTCACTCTGAGTCTGAACTGTCACTCGACTTGGAAGCCTTGTGCTTTCGTTTCTTCTTCTTTTTTTTCTCTTTCTTCTTTTTCTTATGCTTTTCTTTCTTCTTCTTTTTCTTGCGCTTCTCTTTACTTCCCGAGGAGCTGGAGCTGCTCCCATCTTCATCCGAGGTGGAGTCCTCCAGTAACTGTTTTAGCTGCTGGATCCTAAACAGATTCCCCAGAACAATATTTCATTTAAGCAGTGGTGAATGGGGAATTATGAACAACTATCTCAATAAAGACCTACATATCTGCGTGTGGCCCCCAAGGCCTCATAACTCCTAGCAAATGCATACCCACTGAGCTGTTCCCACTGCTCAGTTCCACAGCAATGCAGCGTCTCAAGAGCTACAACACAACCAACTAGAAACAATTAAAAAAAACAATTAGAAAAAATAAAAACTTCTTATTTTTGTGACAGATCCCAATGTAGTCCAGGCTAGCCTCAACTCATATGAAGTCAAGAATGACCTTCAACTTCTAATCCTCCTGCCGTCACTCCCCAAGTGATGGCGGTACAGGTGTTTAACACCTCGCATGTACAATGCTGGGATCAAACCAAACCCGAGGTTTCATGCCTGCTACCAACTGAACTACATCCAGCCCCTTTCCTTAATCTCGTCTAAAAACAAGTTAACAAAAACTCAGACTTTCATTGGCACTGAAGGCAATCTAGGTCCCAGGAGAGTCCATCATGCAAGGTGTGTGGCATACGCTGCTCATCTCAGCAGCCCAGAGGCCGACACAGCAAAGTCTACAATTTGAGGCCAGCTTGCTCTACATGCTGAGACACTGCTGCAAAACACACACACACACACACACACACACACACACACACACCACAATGTGATTGTCCATGACTGAAGGCATGCCCGCTGCTTATTTAGGGAACTGCTCATTACCCCAACATCTCTGTTCAGTGATTAATCTTGCCCTCCCAGCTATTCAGTTAAAGGAATGTGATTATCCACTGCCCCCATAGATTAGAAGACTTGTTTATAACACTGTGTACTTTCAGATTTCAAGAGGACATTTGTAGCAACAGGGCAGCCTTACCTGACATCCTTTTCATGTCTTTTATTCTCTCGAATGATGTCATACATGGGATCTTCATGTGCCTAAGGTTACAGAGGGTTACAGTTGGTTAGTTACCATGGACTGCTTTATTATGTAAAAGTTAAACCTCTCTGTTTGGAAACCAAACTGGCCTTGAATTTTCAAACTTCCCTTTCAGCCCTGGGAGTGCTGAGGTTACGGTGCTTCCTGCATGTAGCTCGATGCCAGCTATCTCAGAGCTATGCTGCTTTTTTCAATCGTACAAAATCTTATTACACAGCTCAGGCTAGCTTTGAACCTGCTGGCCTGAGGATGACCTCATGTCTTGACCCTCCTGCTTCTACCCTGAAGTGCTGGGTCACCACCCCCCAGCTCACCCTGAGACAAGGCCTCACCTTGTTAAAGTAAAGTGAGCCTCACCCTGTGCTGATCGTGCTTCAGTCTCCAGGGTGCTGCATGGCAAGTGTAACCCCCACACCTACTTTACAATACATTTTCGTCCCTTAAAGACTATACTTATTACTATTTGGGCTTTTGGAGTCTTACTGTGTTTCAGACAGCTATTGGATGACCTGGAAACTCACTATGTAGACCAGGCTGGCCCCTAATTCATGGCAGTCCTCCTGCTTCCGAATGTTGGGATTTTGGCTGTGTGCCACCATACCCAGACTTTAGTACTGTAAACACTTTAAGGCTACAAAACACTTCTTCCATTAGAATATACAGGAAATAACTGAATATTCCATATACAGAAATACAGGAGGGGGCTAGCAATATGGTCAGTGGCTAAGAGCACTGGCTGCTCTTCCAGAGGACATGATTTCCATTCTCAGCATCTACATGGCATCTACATCTGCAACCCCAGTTCCAGGGGATCTGGTGCCCTCTTCTGGTCTCCTTGGGTATTGCATGCATGTGGTGCACAGACATGCAAGCAAAACACCCATACATAAAATAAAAGCATTTAAAAAAATTTAAATAAGCTGGGCATGGTGGCACATGCCTTTGATCCCAGCATGCAGGGAGACAGAGGTAAGTGGATTGCTGTGAGTTTGAGGCCAGCCTGGTCTACAAAGTGAGTTCCAAGACAGCCAAGGCTACACAGAGAAACCTTGTTTCAGAAAACAAAAACAAAAACCCCCAAACCAAAATCAGACAAAAAACAAAACCCCCAAACTTTAAATAACAAGCTCTAACTGGTGGCAGCTTTGCTTTTCCTGGTGCTGGGATTACAGACATGCGATACCCCCTTTGGGGCAGGCATGCAGAGAGGTTAGTTTAGAAACCTGGGATTCCCTTGGTTTGGGCTACGCACTTGCCAGCTTATGTGGATACCCTAATCTACCAAATAAAGCAAGTTCCTCTTCCCCCTACTGACCGCAGGCTTGCGTCACTATGTCTCGCCCCTAAGTAATCTTTTATGGAGAATCCTTAGTTACTATCTTATGCCTGCACATAATGTATGTGCATATGACGGAGTTATGGGATTATTGGAAGGGACAGTTCAGTAAAAACAAAATGGTTACATAACTCAGTCTATCACACAAAGTGGAGAACCACTCAATCCCCCTAGTGAGCAAACCCCTCTGTCCTTTAGACCCCATAAAAAGATGCAAGAGGCAAGAACAAGGGCCCTTCCATCCCTTGACTCAGGTGGCCAGTGTAAATCTTTGTTGTTTTTTGAGACCCAACTTTGTAGCCAGCATTTGCTACTCTGTGGGTTCCCCTTTCTTCTCTCTGCCATACTTATTAAAGCCCTAACACTAGATAGGAGATAAAAAGGGTAGAGAGGAAAGGGGTGTAAAGGTGTGTGCTATCATACACAGACACAGGCTGCGTCCACTCAGCTTTCAAGAACCCTTCCCCTAACAGTCTGCAGTCTTCAAAATCTCAGCTTTACGGCGGGGACAGGAGGAGGTGCACAGTGCTTCCCGAGAATGCAGGAGGCCCTGGGCTCAAGCTCTAGGTCTGAACAAAGTCTACACAACACTTCTGCTTGTATTGTCCATGTGCTTGCTTACAGGTGCACAGTCTGTGTTTGTAAGTGGTTGTGTGTGCCTGTGCACAGGCTGACGTGAGGACTCTTCTTCCAGTGCTCTCTGTCTTTCTCACTGAAGCAAGGTATCTCAAGGGAGCCCAGAGCCGCCCAGGACAGCTCCTCTAACCAGCTGGCTTCCACGGGGATCCATTTCTACCCTCTGAGCACTCACTGGTGGGCTGCTCTGCCCACTTAGCACGGACATGAAGGAGATTCATACTCCTGCCCAGTGCTTGCTTGGCAAGGGCCATTATCCACCAAGTCCCTGGAGAATGTGTTCTGGTGTTTGTTGTTGTGAGCTAGGCTGCTGCCATGGCCCCATGCTCATCTCTGCAGGGTCTCCCTGCCACTCCTGAGCGGCAGGCATGGTTCACCACACCTGGCCCCGTTGACCCCACTTCAGACACACCAGCAGCCTTACTTCATTTACACAGACCGTGCCTTACTGTGCAGAATTGTTATGGGATGTGAATGGACACCTCTGAGAGGTGATTTGTGAGCATGCAGTAGAGCTGTCTTATGTCATCTGAGCAAATACACACTTCTAGATCAAAAGACGCATCTAAGCTTACATGGGAATAAAAACCCTTCACCTGAAAAACATATAAGTGTGAATCATATATAGACTATTACAAAGAAGGGTTGAACACAGTGTGGCTTGGAGAGAGGAATCAGTGTTGCTAAGGTTAGGAATCTGTCTCTCTGTGTGTTGTCCTCCAGTGCCGTGGCTTGAACTCGGCATCTCTACGTGCTGGGCAGCACCCCACCTGAGCTGCACACCTCCCCTCCAGCCTGTCGGAGACAAGCTCTCAAGTTACGAACTTTCACTTGTCCCACCTCAAACTGCTGACCCGTCAAATAAAGAACATCTTAATCATAGTCTTTTCCCTCCTTTTACTTTTCCTGCAGAGACAGGGCCTTATACACATCAGGCTGGCCTCAAACTCACTTTGTGGCCAAGGCTGACTTTGAACTCAGGATCCTTCTGCCCCTACCTCCCCAGTGGCGGCATCACAGGCATGTGCCACCATGCTTGCTCTATGTGGGGCCAGGGCTGGAAAACAAGCACTCTCCCAACGGGGCTACATGCGCAGCCCCAGGCAGCCTTTTGCTATCTGTCACATGGTGCATATGTGGGTGTGTGAACATCCGACAGTCTGGCCAGGAGGCCTCCAGGGCCTGCATGTGCGGAGCGGTTCACTAGTGACCTCCATGGATTCACCGTCGGCGGCAGCTGCTATTGTTGACAGCGCAGGCTATACTTACAACTCGGAACTGTTCTAACTTCTGGTTGCCTTTGATAAAAAAAGGGCATTCTTTGTCGCCGGTTCGATGGCCATACCGTTTGCAACGCCAACCTTAAACCAAAGAGAAACAGTTCTGTAAGATAATATGGTCTCACCTCACTGAGATGTTTCAGCAGATTCAAGTTTTTCATTAGACTCTAATTCAAAAAACAAAGGATTAACAGATGAAAACAGTAAGATCCCAGAAAACAATGAAGGTAACTAAAGGCTTCTTTACATATCCCTTGAATCTTGTCAAATTAGTACCAAATGTTCCATTACCAAATGTCGTGAAGCAATCCAATGTAAAAGTACCATAGTATGTGAATTTGCTCAGTACATTTCACTACATTTTTAAGAGAGTGGGGCAGTGGTGTCTCCCAAAACCCACAGCGGCGCACAGCCACCCACAGACACTCTTTGGCCTCTCTGGACTGCTGTATGCATGTGGTGCTCATGAACTAAACGTGAGCTCATGCAAACACACACACACACACACACACACACACACACACACACACACACATCATTAAAAAGAGAGTGGGTGAACCCTTTTTGTTTGTGAGATGGCTCTGATTATGAGGGCTAGGAATTTAGGTCGCCTAGCGAGCGGCTCAAAGTGCTCAAGGCCATGGCTGAACTCTCCAGCCCCATGACAACGGTATTGTTCTTTTGTGGTTGTTGTTTTGAGACAGGGTGTTGCTTTGTAATAGCCCTGGCTGTCCTGTACTAGCTTTGCAGAGCAGGCTGGCCTCGGAGCCCCAAGTGCTGGGATTAGAGGCATGCAGGCCACACTGGGCAGCAGTATCTCTCAGGTTGACTAACCTTACAGAACCCCCCCTCACTCCCTCCCCTCTGCAGGCGCAGATTACTAGACTTCTGTGACCCTTTCCTCTGAAGAACTAGGACTTCAAGAACACACCACTGTAGCAAGCTCTATAAGAGGAAACTTCATTTTTTAGAGGCAGGGGCTTACTGTGTAGCCATGGCTGGCCGTAACATCACAGAGACTGCCCAACTCTCACTTGGAGTGCTTGGATGAAAGGCATGCATCATAACTAACCTGACTGTTTTTGTTTGTTTGTTTGTTTTGAGACAAGAGTTTCTCTGTAACAAGAGCCCTGGATGTCTTGGACTCACTTTGTAGATCAGGCTGGCTTCAAACCCACAGAGACACAGAGATCCATTCAGCCTCCCAAAAATATATTTTTAAAAACTGTGTGTATACGTATCTGAGTGTGTATCTGTATAGGCAGAACTACAAAAAACAAAACAAGCAGCTTCAATAAAAGCCTCTGTAAACACAGCTTCTCTGTTTTTCAGGTTAAGCAGTGGCTCTGATGGCATTAACTGACACTTTGAGAGATCGCTGGAGTTACAGTTGGTTGGGAGCCACCTGCTGTGGTGGGTGCTGGGCACTGAACTATGGTCCCTGCAAGAGCAGAATGCACTCTTAACTGCTTGAGTCATTCTTCAGCTTGAGCCTCATGTTTTAGCAAAACAACAGATGATCTAAATGCCACCAGGGCTACACAACCTACCTGAAAAACCGAGGAACTGTGTTTAAAGAGGTTTTCACCGATGTTGTTTATCTTGTTTTCTGTAATTCTGCTGTGCTGGAACTTACTCCTTAGAGCAGGCTGGTATAAAGCCCACAGAGAGCTGCATATATCTGCCTACCAAGTGCTAGGATCAAAGGTGTGCGCCACCACGCCTGGCTGAAGAGATTTAAAGTGAGAAGTAGCAGAAGGCCCGAGGAATTGACATAACACATATAAACATGTTTCAAGTCTACAGAAGCGCACAACTCAAAGGCCCTCACTCAATATGGACTCAGCATTAGGAGCGGCAATCTGAGGAGTGTGAAACAGCAATGATGAAGTCCCAGTTGCCCCCACATCTTTCCATTCCGTCCAGATCTGAGACAAGTCAGGCCCGAGGATGGTGAGCCAAGTGAGAGCTGTCCTTGGGTGTTGATCAAGGAGGCCAGGAAACAAGAGATGCTGGAAAGGTGAGCTGACTGGGCCCAGGCTAGCAAGTACAGAAAGCATGTGGTAAAAGGAGTCTCTGTGGCATTTGCAAGGATGAGAGTGTGTGACTCAGGTCAAGGCCAGATAGCTCTCGGCTTTATGTCCTTCAGACAGGGCTTCCCACAAACTTGCTGTTTGGGCTAGGCAGGCCAGCCAACATGCTCTCAGGATCTGTCTCCACCCTCGAATGCATGGTTACTGACATGGACAGGCATTTCCATCCTTCATGTGAGTGTTGGGGAGTCTTTAAGGATGGCTTCTGAACTGTTCTTATCCACTTGAACTTACAGAAAGACACACCTAGAAGCCTAGGACTAGGGAGGATACAGCAGGCCCACCCTGAGCTCTCGGTCAGCAAATGCTGTGGCAAGGATCCTGTCTCAACCTCCCCTTCACTCATCCAAAACCGCCTGAGGAAGAAGGGCCACATACTAAACCAATGCTGTGTGTCAGCAAAACTCAGGAGATGTAAAATGCCAAGGGGCATGTGTGGACACACACACATCCAAGTAATATTAGTTCTGAATGTGCTGCACGGCAGTGTTGGTGCAGACCTAGAACCCCAACACTTAGGAAAGTCGAGCTAACAAAATTGTTCATTTAAGGCCGCTCTTGGCTGGATAAGGAGATGGTATCACAAAACAACAACAAAACCAAGAAGATGATCCTTGTAATTCCCAGTGTGGTCCACAGCAAAAGTGAGACCATGAAAGATACTGTTAGCAGAGCAGTCTCTTACGCCCCTCAGCAATATGAATGAGCGACCTGAATGCAGAGCTGTGTTAGCAGGTAAGGGATGAGTGACAGCTCAATAGAGGCATACTTTGCCTGAGTGAGCTACCGTGGCACAGAGAGCACAAAGAGTCAGAGAGACAGGCTGGGGAAAGGGGACTGGGATCTGCAGACTTTAAGTCTGAGAAACATTTTCCTTCCTATATATATTTCAATATTTAATGTTATTATTTGATTTGCATAGGTGTTTTGTCTGCATATATGTGTCTATATACCACATTCAGGCCTAGTGCCTAGGGAGGCCAGAAGAGATCAGTGGGTTCGCCGGAACTGTGGTTACAGGTGGTTGTGAGCTGCCATGTAGGCGCTGAGAACGGAATCTCAGTCCTCTGCAAGAGTAATAATGTGTTGGTTTGAACGAGAATGGCTCCGGAGACTCCTATGTTCAAACCCTTGGTCCCTAGTTGGTGGAACTGTTTGGGAAGGATTAAGTGTGGCCTTGTTGGAGAAGGTGTGTCCCTGGGGTTGGGCTATGAGGTTTCAAAAGAGGACACCATTCCCTGTTAGTTCTCTGCCTCCTGCTTGTGATGACACTGAGTTCTCTGCTTCTGCCCTACTGCAGCCACACTCCCCATGGTGATGGTCAGAAACACACTCTGAAGGAAGCCTCCAAAGCAAACACTTTAAGTTGCCTCGTCCATGGTGTTTTGTCATGGCAACAGAAAAATAAGCAAGACAATCAGTGCTCTTAACTACTGAGCCATTTCTCCAGGCCCAGAACCACTTTTCTTAACAGCAAAGCCAAGGAAAGTATGCAGGCTCGTGGATATGTGTGTCTCTTTCCCTTTCCGGTCTGCTTTGTAGGACCTGAAGAGTCTGTCATTTGTTGAAGAACTGGGTAGGCATGATTGCGAGGAGACAAATACGAAGATATCTTGCTTTCAGAAACTGTACATCGTCCTAGGCAAATGTGAACAAGAGCACATTGCTGGGGCACCACAGGAGTCCCGACAAGCCATGAACACGGCATCAATGTGAATCCATTTAATATGGAATACACAGAGGTCCGTCAAGATGGGCCAGGAGATGAACTTCATAAATCTATTCTGTCTTTTCCTGCTTACTTATTTCAATGAGTGTTTTCCCTTCATGCACACTTGGTGCCCTCAGCAGTCAGAAGAAAGCACCCAGGCTTCTGAGTTGGTATTACAGACTGTTGTGAGCTACCATGTGGGTGCTGGGAACTAATCCGAGGTCATCTCTAAGGGCAATGGGTGCTTTTATTTGCTGAGCCATCTTTACAGCCCCAATCTGTTCTTTCTTAGAAGTAATGGAAAGTTCTAGGCCAGCAAAGGCTATATAATTGGAGTCTGTCTCAAAAACAAACAAAGCAAAAAGCATAGGGGCTAAAAAGAGGGCCCAGTAGTTAAGCACTCTCATTACTCTTACAGAGGACCATGTTGGGCAGCTGACAACTCCAGCTTAAGAGAACACACATAACTAATAATAACAAGAATAACTCTGGGGGCCCTGCAGAGATGGCGCAGCAGCTAAGAGCACATACTGCTCTTGTCAAAGACACAGTTTGGTTCCTGTCACCCATATTGGGTAGCTCAACTACTTCTGGTCTCTCAAGGGATCTGCAATCACATGCATACCTGCTCACTACCACACATGTACACATAATTAAAAAAACATAAAAAATAAATCTTTAAAAATTTTCTAGACAGGTAATGAAAATAGTAGTAAATTTGTCCAAAACGTTTTTTGTTTTGTTTTTTGATTTTTACAAATTAGTCACAGGCTTTTCATTGTGAGAAAAAAAAAAAAAAGTTTTTAATCAAAGGTCCCTGGCCCACTAAGAGTTAACATCCCATAAACCAGCCCTATCTTGTGAAGCTTTGTAGAATTTTATTTTAGGTTGTATCGCCTGCACAGATGTCTGTGGCCCGTGTAGGTAGTGGGTGTGCAGGCAGATGAGAGAGAACACTGGCTCTTCTGGAACCTGACTTACAAGCTCGTGACCAGCTACGTGAGTGCTAGGAACCCCACTCTGGTCCTCTGTGGGAGCGGCAGGTTCTCACCTGCTGAACCACCTCTCCAGCCCCAACCTGGCATTCAACTCATTCAGTTCCCCCTACCTGGTAAACTTTACTCCAATCTTTCAGCTTCCTCCACCTGGAGAACTTTTGTTTATCCGAAGGCCTGGCAAACATTCCAGGAACCCGATGAGCCCCAGCTGCTGCTCCCTCCCAGATTTCTTCACTTCCTGTGCTTCCATCCTTTTAAAACTAGCCAATCAGGAAAGCCTGTCTGTTGGCCTCCATCCAATGGTTGGAGGGCACAGTCATCACCTACATTAGACTAAAAGTCAAGTGCACTTACTGCCACTGTGAGCCTGATAGCCTGGTTAGCTCATGGGACACCTTTTTATAAACAGCAACGGCCTTCCTGACCTACTTTCCCTATATTTCTGTTGTGTGTGTGTGTGTGTGTGTGTGTGTGTGTGTGTGTGTGTGTGTGTGTAACATGAATATCTGCTTCCAATACATCAATCTAAGGAACTCCACCAACCCTGGTGAGAAGTGCCACTTCAGGTATCTGGACTGGGCCACTCCCAGTCTTCTTGTCCTAGGTCCTTAACAGTCTTGAGAATCAGCAGTCTGATGAAGGTCAGAATGAGGCCTAAGCTCCTTAGAAGACACAGCCACACAGCACTGTCACTGTTTGACTGTCTCAAAGATCCCTGGTACAGCCACACCTATAAGTTGTAGTTACTTGCCTAAACACAGCATTCATTCTACAGGAACGGCAACCTTTCAGAATATTAGCTGAAAATAGTGGCTTGTTTAACATCCAGGCCATGCTGGCTACTTTTATGTCAGTTTGACACAAACTAAGCCATTTTAGGAAAAGGAACATTGGTTGAAAACACCTCCATCAAATGGCCTGTAAGCAAGTCTGTAGGGCATTTTCTTGACTAATAACTGATACAGGAGATCCCAGCTCACTGTGAGAGGTGCTCCCTTCTAGGCTGGGCTGGCAGGTGGTTCTGAATATAAGAAAGCAGGCTGAGCTGGGTGGCAGAGCACTCAGGGAGGCAGAGGCCATCCTGGTCTACAAAGTGAGTCCAGGACAGCCAAGGCTACACAGAGAAACCCTGACTCAAAAAAAAAAAGAAAGAAAGAAAGAAAGAAAGAAAGAAAGAAAGAAAGAAAGAAAGAAAGAAGCAGGTAGGCAAGCCAAGGATAGCAGGCCAGTAAGCAGTATTTCTCTATAGCCCCAGGTTCCTAGCCTTTTTGAGCACCTGCCTTGACTTCTCTCACGGGACTGTGACTCACCATACATAAGCAAAATAAATGCTTTCCTCCCCAAGCAAACTAGGACCCACATCCTCAGGTTGGTTATCAAATGGGCAAACAAGAACCCAGTCAAACACTCAGAGAACCGCTGGGAACTGATACACTCAAAGGAGGCTCTCACAAGTCCTGACATGATCCTGTTGTGAAGAGCTGTGAAGTGCACAGGCACTGGGGAGACCCTAGGAATCCAGTTCTCTCACTTCTTTGTGACCTGAGGCCTGGGAAGATAAGAGGTTTAAAGACTGAAGGGAGCTGAGTGAGCGTGGTGATGCACCTATGAAGCCTTCTACTCAGGAGGCTACAGCAGGAAGATCAGACAACAAACCAAGGCCTGACCAGAAGAGGAGAGCAAGTCGAAGCGGAGATCTAAACTGTGCCAACTCTGAGAAGGCATATCCTAACACACACACACACACACACACACACACACACACACACACACACACATACACATACACCCTTCTTCCCCTTGGATAAAGGTAGGTTTCTTAGATTAATTAATTGAAGAAGTACCTGACAATTTTTTTTTAGTTGACCACTAGCTAACTGAGCCACACACTACAGAGAATATAGACTTTCAGAGTCGTTCCAAGAAAGTTACTGAAGGTACAAGAAGTTTCTAAGGAAAAAGTTGAATACCACACAAACAGTACGGGTAATAAAGACGTTATACCTACTGGCCACACGCTCTAAAGCAGAGCCACAATTCTTCTTTAAAACCTTCATAGTGATACAGGCCTAACATACCTTTGAGGCCTGCCCCTTTTGGGTAGGGTAAGGATAGCCATTTTTGTTTCAGGCCCCCCAGCCACATCATCTTAGCTCGTTGCTGGTATGAAAGAATCTCCTTTGTACAACAGCTCTGAATAAAGTCAGGTTGACCATAAACCGTATGCTTTGTTGTTCCTAGAAATTCCCCAACTATAAGCACAGCTGGCCTCAGCTGCCAGGCACACTTTCAAGATTAGCTAGAACTTCTTGTTGGCAAAACAACTTGAGTCAGAGCCGACCACTCTGTTTCACCATTCATCCCCGTTTTTTGCCTTTATAAACTGACTCTGAAAAACAGGTGAATGTCACAGTTTGGCTACTGAGTCCGCTGTGTCCCTGACCATGGTCAGTATTGGGGTGTTGCATTCAATAACTGAGACTGGTGTCTGAATGGTTTGTGTGGCTTCCTCTGGAGCCTAACATATACCAACACAGGAGGCTTGAGAGCTCAAAATCAGCCTGGGGTCAAATGTGGAGCCACATACTTTTTTTTTTTTTTTCTTTCAAGACAGGGTTTCTCTGTGTAGCCTTGGCTGTCCTGGAACTCACTCTGTAGACCAGGCTGGGCTCGAACTCAGAGATCTGCCTGCTTCTGTCTCCTGTGTGCTGGGATTAAAGGCATACAGTACTACCACCTGACAAGGCAGAGCACAGCTTTGAACCCAGTGCTGAAAGACAGATTTCAACATGAGTTCAAGGGCAATCATGTCTACGTAGTAAGATGCTGTCTTCTTTTGAGACATGGTTTCTCTGTGTAGCCTTGGCTATCCTGGACTTGCTTTTTAGCCCAGGCTTGGGCTCAAACTCACAACAATGCACCTGCCTCTGCCTCCCTGAATGCTGAGATTAACGGTGTGTGCCACCATGCCCGGCTATTAAGACCCTGACTTAAAAACTAAGAAGCCAGGTTGGGCAGCGGTGGTGCAGAGAATAAGCCAAAAAGAAGAGGTATGATACTGTAAAGCACGGCGTACCAACTATGTGTATAGAGGATCCAAACTGCCTGGTTTGCATCTGATCTGTCCCACAAGGGTTCACGTGTTCAAAGCCTGATCCACAGTGTGGGAGTGCAAGGTAGAGAATCCTTGAAGATGTGGAGCTTAGAGCTTCAAGGCGGGTTTTAATCGTGGACTAAATCCTCATGATCAGGAATGCCAGCTCTGGAGACATTTCCTTCATGTGTTTCCCTTCTGCTTCCCCGTCAGGTACGATGCACACGGGGCTGAGAGCCCGGGATGCTGACGCTCCGCTATGTAGACCCTGCATCACCGGAACTGTGGGACAAACAAACCTGCTCACGACTTACCCACCCACATGCATCTTAATGGCAGAGGTACACTGCCTGACACGCCACAAACGCACACTCACATTGCATAACTTTGACCTCTCTCCCCAGTGGCATCCAAAGTCCTTTAGTTGGTGCATGAGCCAGAAACTCCCTGGCATGCTCATTGCCCGGCACGTCTGGTATACAGTCTTCTGGCTTTGTCTCATCCTCCTACAGGAAGATAATAGTGTGTGAACAAGAGGACAGAACCAGAACCAAAAAACCAACCTGAAACCACCAAACCCATCAAAACAGAAACAAAACAGGACTCTGTCCTTGCTTCCTGCTTGAGAGGCTACCATTGTGCGGCTTCGTCTCACTGGGTGACAAGGCCCACCTGGTCCGCAGGAACTGGGGACACAAACTATCAGGGAGAGAACTTCACAGAGAAGCAGCTCGGCCTCGACTGGAGGAAAGTCGCTATGAAGCGCGGGCTTCAGGCAGGAATGACTTGTCACCTCCACACTCCGACATAAAATGGTCAGAAAGGTTTCACTTTTTTAGTCTGTGGAAGGTGGAAAGGCATTCTGGAACACTAGATTGACTGCTACATTAAAACAGATCTAAAGAAGTGACACCTTTGGGGAGAAGGCGAACTCTTCCCATGATGCAGGTGGAGTCAGAAGGCAACCTTAGAGGAGTCTGTCCTCATCTTTTCTCTCAAAGGTCACCTTTGTTTTTGATGGGGATTTTCACCAGCCAATAACTATTTAGAACTGGAGTGTTCCTCTAACGTTGTTTTACTCAAAGTGTTTTGGCCTTTGGCTGCTTCTCTGAGTCCCTGCCTACTGAAACACCCAGCCTCTGTTTCTAGGCTGCAGGGGTCCCTGCCCTGAAGGCTACGGGTGTGTCCTTTCAGGCCTCTTCTGCTGAGGGCACTCAAGACTCCAAGCCTAAATGTACTGAGATGGCTGAGTGAGGTGGACAAGAAAAATGGACAGCAGAGCTTCTAGACGATACTGCCAGAGACAGAAGGAGAGCGGCAGGTCAGGGACTCCTGTGTGTTTATACTGGTCCTTGGGACAGGGAATGACAGCTGGTTAAATGTCTAGGAAGGACAGGCTTTGTGACAAAGTCCAAAATTATGGTTTACCTGTTATCTGTAGGAAAGAGACAGTGTTTTCATATAAGGCAGTGGTTCTCAACCTATGGGCTATGACCCCCTGGGGGTTGAATAGCTCTTTCACAGGGGTCAACTAAGACCATCAGAAAAAAAAACCACACACAGATATTTACTATTCATAATAGTAGCAAAATTGCAGTTAAAAAATAGTAATTTTATGGTTGGGCATCAACAAAACATGAGGACCTGTGTTAAACGATCACAGCATTAGGAAAGCTGAGAACCACTGATATAAGGAGGTTGAAAAAGATAAAAACCCCACACTGTTATTTCCCCACTAAATCACTAAGCCCACAAGCATGTTTAATAGAGTGACCAAGCCTGCAATGGCTTACCTTGATAAACCCAGGAGGAGGTTTCTCGTAACTAGAAAAAGAAGCACAGAAAGCAGCCTTCAGCAAACATGTCAACAGGAAGCACCGCACATCTACACAGGGCAAAGCAGAGGCTTGCTGCAGATCAGGACCCAACCTCCTCAGAGGCTTCCCCTGCCGCACCAGGCCGTGCCAGACACCCGCCAGCCCTCCGCGTCCATGGCATGCACTCCAGACTCCAGACTCGGTGCTGAAATCTGGGGCAGGTGGCAGCACAGAAGAACTGTGATGCTCACAGACCAACATTCAGGCTCTCCAGATCCCGCTGCACTCCAGAGTGATATCCAGGACACTTCAGTCTGTACTTCACCTTTCTAACCCCAGGGAAGTGTTCATCGCTAGAAGGCCGAAGGGACAGACAAAGCACAAGGACCTGTGCTTCCTTGTTTTCTTTTATGCGGGGCTTAAGAGGTTTTCAGAAGAAAATGACGGTTAGGTGTGAGAAACAAGGAAACAGACTAAGGGTCAGGGAAATGACTTTATTTTCTGCTCTAAGATGGGGGAAGAACAACTTGTAGGGGTTGGCATAGGTTGCCCTCTGTTGCTCTCACCAACAGCACGACCAAATGCAAGCTGGAGAGGAAAGGGTTTAAGGTAGCTTACAGGTAGCTTAGGTTCTCCATGAGTGAAGCCAAGGAGTAAAGGAACCCATGGCAGGAACTGAGGCAGAGGCCATGGCTTATTCTCAGGCTGCTTTCTTATACAACCAGCGCCCAGGGGTGGCACTGGCCCTCCCCATGGGCTGGACTCTCCCACATTCATCATTAATCAAGAAAATGTCCCCACACTTTCCCACAGGCCAATTTGATGGGTGGTATAACCTGGGCTCTTTAGCTACGCACTGAATCTCCAGGACCAAAGTTAGAAAGAAAGAAAAAAAATATAAACAGTTTTTTTTTTTAAAGGCATTTATATCTCTAGTTAATTTTGTTATTGTTTGAGACACGGCCTTACTCGGCAGCCCAGGCTGGGCTTGAACTCATGTCAGTCTTTCTGCCTCAGACTCCCGAGCGCTGGAACTGCAGGCGTAGTGCGCATCTTCAGCTAGTTCTTAAGATTTAAAGACAATGGTAAAACCTTTATTTTACCCTGAAGTCTTACTGTGATATCACTGAGCATGTATTAAGTTGTTCTAAGGAGAGAAATGGCCAAAGTAGGTAGAAAGGAAAATCATCTCAAATGGACCCCAAACTCACTCATGAACTAAAACATGCATAAATGCTTTCTGAGGCAGTCTCTCTCTCCACACTGGCTTCACAGCTGCCATTTTCCCATCTCAACCTTCCGAATGCTAGGATTACAGTCCTGGGTCTTTGGGGACAACTACATGTATTCCTGGAGCCTGCAGAGGTCACAGCGGGACATCAGATCTGGTACAGATGGTTGTGAGCTGCTGTGTGGGTACCTGGAATTAAAACTGAGTCTTCTGCAAGGGCAGGCAGTACTCTTAACTGCTGAGCCATCTCTGCCGCCTCACTTTAAGTTACTTTTCCTGTTGAATGTTCGGTAGGATTTATTTGAAGCATTCATTAAATACATGCCATTCCATGAAAGTGCTTCTGCAGCTGCCTTCAAGGAAATGCAGAGGCAAGATGCCTGCTAGGTAGCTCACGAGAAACCTAAAGGATGGACAACAGACTCAGGACCTTCAGGAGCCTAAGGTCAAAGCAAAGAAGGAGTGATGTGGCCCCTTGGGACTCAGTTGAACATGAACAAATGAACTCATTTGTAAAAATCCGCTGTTGCTTCCCATTCAGCATGGATCCCTGACTTCCATAAACACATCTGTCTTCCTCCCAGAGCATTTAAAATGACAGTAAAAAAGTAATAAAGCCATGGTAACCTGAATCCAAAGAACAATCCCGATTTCAGTAAGCGTGGGGAATAGAAAGAAGTTAGACTTCTTTAGAGGAAGCCAAAGTCTTCAGATCATAGGAATGTAGAGTATGGGCACCAGGGGGCTGAAGCTTTCTCTTTCCTCACAACCAGGAGATTGCCTGTCCTAAGGAGAATCCATAGTTCTAAGTTTGGTTCATGCTACCCCAGATTCCTGGTGGCCAAACACATCCTCAACTTGAGGCAGAGGATGGAAGATGCTTGCAGAGAACCTTGAAAAGGCCTCTCTTTGCTGACACTGGGAAACTGATTAAAAAAAAAAAAAAAAAAAGCAGCCAGCAGCCCAAACCTCCTACGCTGAAGCTGCCAGTCAGCAAACAAAAGCTGGGTATAGGGACGAAAACTTTAATCCCACCACTCAGGAGGCAGAGGCAGGTGGAGTTTGAGGTCACTCAGGGCTACGGAGAGTTCAAGGACAGCCAGGGCTACCCAGAGACCATGTCTCAAAACAAAACAGCCCCCAAATGAGCATCTTCCTTCTTTCTCTCTTTAAAAAATTTTTATTTTATTTTATTTTAAAGACAAGGTCTCACTCTATTTTCAAAGGTAGCCTAGAGCTCACTGTGTAGCCCAAGCTGGCCTTGAACTCAACACAATCCTCATACACAGCCTTCCTAGTGCACGATACCATGGCTAACATGCAGTGTGTTTCACTATCAAACATAGAGATTCAAGAATATCCAGACAACAAGAGTACGGGCTGGGGTGTATAACTCAGTCAGGAAAGTGCATGTTTTGTGGGCAAGAGGACCTGAGTTAAACCCCCAAAACTTATATAAAGGAAATAAAAGCTGAGCATGCTGGTACACACTGCAAACCCAAGGCTGGGAGGGACTGATGGGCAGACCTCTTGGGCTCACTGACCAGTTAGTCCACTTGATGAGTTCTATACCAATGAAGACCCTGTCATTGGATCACCCCCGAGGAATGATATCAAAGGCCTCCCCATGCAAGTTGCAGGGGTACACGTGTGCGCGCGCACACACAACAAATGAACAAATGATTAAGCCGGAAATCAACACATAAGGAAGCCAGGGAGGATGGTGCAAGCCTATGAATCTAGCTGTTAGGCAGAGATATAGGGCAAATTCACAGGCTACTTGGCCTACATAGGAGGCTACTTAGCAGGACCTCCTTTCAAAACAAAATAAAAGGAGGGCTAGGGATATGGCTCAGTATTACAGTGCTTGCCGAAAATTCACAAGGCCCTAGCCTCAGCCTCCATATTACAAAAGGGCAGCACAGTGGCAATAGGGGGGGCAGAGGAAAAATAACGAGTGCAGTCACTACTGAAACAAGCATAGGGTGTTCTGAAAAACAACTCCCAGAGCCGGGTGTGGAGGCACACGCCTTTAATCTAGCACTCGGAAGGCAGAGGCAGGTGATCTCTGAGTTTGAGGCCAGCCTGGTCTACAAAGTGAGTTGCAGGATGACTAGGGATACACAGAGAAACCCTGTCTTGAAAAACAAAAAAAAAAACAAACAAAAACCCCAAACCAAAGCTCAAAACAACTATTTCTGACATGAACTCAATGGTGAGCTCTTTGAACCCCCCTCCCCCGAGGGAGGAGCAGCCTTGCTAGGCCACAGAAGAGGACATTGCAGCCAGTCCTGAAGAGACCTGATAAGCTAGGGTGAGATGGAAGGGGAGGAGGACCTCCCCCATCAGTGGATTTGGAAAGGGGCAGGGAAGAGATGAGGGAGGGAGGGTGGGACTGGGAGGGAATCTGGGAGGGGGCTACGGCTGGGATACAAAGTAAATAACCTATGATTAATATAAAAAATAAAAATTATAAAAAATTAGCATATGAAATATTAGATATTGTATTAGTCAGGGTTCTCTAGAGGAACAAAACTAATAAAATAGATACATATGTGTGTGTGTGTCACAAAGCCCTAGCTTCAGTCTCCAAAACTGCAAAAAGGGCAAATAAGAAACAGTGGCGAGACATTAGGAAGGCTTGGCTGCTGTGGTCTCACTTCTACAGTGGCTATCCGGCAATGGAAAGGCCATTCAGGAGTTATGCAGCCCACAAGGCTGGGTGTCTCGGCTGGTCCTTAGTCTATGCTGTAATCCTCAAGAAGGAGGTTCTTAAACAGCAAAGGAATGCCCCAAAGCAGGACTGATGAACTTGACAGAGAGTAATGGCAAGAGGCAAAAGCGTCCTTCTTATATGGCCTTTTATGTGGACTGCCACCAGAAGATGTGGGCCAGATTAGGGTAGGCACTCCTAATTCAAATGACGTGATTAAGAAAATCTTCCACAGCTGTACTCAGCTGTGATTATTTGATCCCAGATGCAGTCGAGATGACAACCAAGATCAGACATGACAAGTCCAACCCTTGTCAACTTGACATCAATCACATTTTCTTATATCATGTTTAATGTCTAAATGAAAACAATAACCAGGGCAGAATTCCATCTAACCTGATGTAACTATGTGATATACAATCACAAATGCACTGTGTATTTTAGAATGGGCAGCACTGTCTTTGGAGGAATGCTTACTCTTAATTGTATCATTACTTAAATACGATAATAACCAGTGATATTATCTCAATCAATTGTTATATTCATGATGAAGAAATAAAACAAAATGTAGCTTAATATATGTGCAGATATGTACAAACATGTCCTTAACAAAATAGGACAGAAACACTCTTGTCGATTATAAACCTATAACCCTAGCTTCTGCAACTGGTCATGCGGCCTCAGCCGGCATTTTTAACTACCTTCCTCTGCTACCCATTCTGTCTGTCCTCCACCCTCAGCAAGCGCCTCAGGTGTGTCTCCTTTCCTGGAGGAGTGACCCCATCTTCATTCCTGAAGGGTCTGTGCCCTTTGTCAGCCTGCCTGGATTAGGCAGCTGTACTTGCCCATTGGCGTTACTCACAGGACATGGTAGCACCAAGAGACTCCCTAAAGGATCTCCCGCCCTCCAGAGACAATCCCCCTTTGCTCCACTGTGGAGAAGCCATCATTTCCCCACGGCAACCTGGACCAGTCACCTCGCCTGACACTGTTATTCCTCTCCTAGCTGCTGGCTTAAGGGCATCAGACGCCCAAGCCAGGGGGAAGGAAGCCTGAGCTTCCA